ACTTTTTACATTTTATATTTTTTATATAGCAAATTAAAGAACTAGTTCTTGTATTATTATCATATTTCAAAATATTAAAGAGCCTATGGAAGAATTGGAAACGCGTATGTTAAACTTGATAAGCTGGATGATGCAATTAAATATTACGGCAAGTCGCTAGCTGAACATCGAACACCCGAAATACTTACTAAATCTAACGAAATTCAAAAGCTGAAAGTCAAACGTGAAAAAGAATCATACTATAATCCAGAGCTTTCTGAAAAAGCTCGAGAAGCTGGAAATGAACTTTTCAAAAAAAATGACTTTGCAGGCGCCGTGCAACAATACACAGAAGCGATTAAACGTAATGAGAACGATCCAAAATCTTATAGTAATCGCGCTGCTTGTTATACAAAACTAATGGCATTCCAAGAAGCATTGAAAGACTGTGAGACTTGTATTAGTCTTGATCCTACCTTTGGTAACGTATTCATCACGTCTTTTACTATTTAATTGATACATTATGAGATATTGACGCTTTTTAATTACAGTTAAAGCCTATATTAGGAAGGCAGCGGTAGAGTTTTTAAAGAAAGATTATTCAAAATGTTTAGAGACTTGTAAAACCGCGCTGAGCTATGATACGGAAAAAAAACATACATCAGAAATTCAAGGGCATATGAGAAAATGTCAAGAAGCAATGTATCAAAACAGTCCAGAAAGTGTAGAAGAGACAATTCGCAAGGCTACTAGTGATCCAGAAATAATGGCATGTACACCAATGATGAATTTGATAGTATGAAAAAGAGCACTATTTTAAATTATATATATATTTTTCTCAATTAGAAAATCCTCCAAGACCCTGTTATGCAACAGATTTTACAACAAGGCCAGGAGGATCCAGGTGCCTTAAGAGAGTATGTATTTATTTAGTTTAACAGGTACAATTAAATTCTGCCGGAACTAATGATTATTTATTGTGTAGACATCTTAAGAATCCTACTGTGAAAGCAAATATCGAAAAATTGATGAACGCTGGCATTTTGAGGACTTCTTAAAACTTTTTTGACATTTGATCTATCCAATGTGACAAACATCCACACGCGAACAGATCGTTTTATTTCTACTGCAAAAAATTATATATTTTTTTTTGAATCAATTATTGTAAATTCGGTACAATAAAAATGTCATCATATTTATTATGTACTTGTGAGTTAATATAAATTGCTTAATTATAAATAGTTTTTCAGGAGACTTTAATTTTATACAAAGGCTGAAGTAATATTTAGGTGATATCTCTAAAGTTATAATCTCAAGCGCTTGTCTAAAATTACCATCTAGTTAATAAGGCAAAAAAAATTAATTTTATTTTAGTTAACATGCAACTTCGGGTATGACAAAATTATATGGTTATTAACCAATCAAATCGTGAATCTCAAAATACAAAAAACTATATACGTACGTACGTGTATGGCTTTTTCAGTATTTGCGCAGATAATAATTGTCGCGGATGATAGTGAAATTTAGAGGTCTCGATTTGAAAATTTAAGCCCTACCAAAATCCACCTATTCTATTTTACTAATAACTATAACCTAAATCCTAACTTAACTATAAAAAAAAAGCTGACAAAAATTTTTAAAAATCGTACGTAAAATAGATCCAAATTTCACCATCATCCGATTTCACGAACATCCGTAACAATAGATTTTAATTTAACCCAACTCAGGTTATATTTAAATTAATATATTTTAAATTATATTTTAGATTGTATTTTAGATATATTTTAGATTGTATTTCAGGTTAGTATTTTAAATTAATTTTGGATTATAAGAATAATTTTAAAAAATTGCTATTTTACTATTAAGTTATAAAAAAAAATATTATTTTTAATAATTCATTAAATTTAGTTTTAAAATTAAAAAAGTTTTTATTAAGTTAGAATTTGTTAAACTTTTAATAAATTGTAAAACTAATTTTTTGGTTTTAATAATATTTAGATTATCAAAATTAGTTTAGTAGATTTTAAAAAATTTGGAATCAAAGATATGATATAAAGATTTACAAATTACTAGTTATACAAAGTATTAAAAACTATATATAATACGTAATTAGCAATTTGTAAATTTTTATATTTATATTATTGATTTTAAATATTTTGAAATTAATTTTGATTATTTAAATACTGTATTATTAGAATTAAAAATTTACTTTATAACTTTAATTAAAAGCTTAACAAATTTTAATTTAATAAAAATTTTTTAATTTTTAAAAAAAATTAAATTTAATTAGTTATTAAAAGAATTTTTATATTTTTTGTATAATTTATATAGTAATAAAAATAAAAAACTATAATAAAAATAGTAATTTTTTAATTTTATTTTAAATTATTTTATATAAAGTAATTTAACTTTTTATAATTAACTTTTTTATTTTAGTTTGTTTTTAAATATAAAAATACAAAACCTTAGTTTTTAAAAAGTTATTATATTGTTAATTTAAACTTACTGTATAATAAAATTTATAAATATTTTAAAATTTTGTATTTACAGTAGTTTTTATAAAGTTTATTAAAAATTCAAATTATCCAAATCTAGATTTAAAAAAATTATTAACTATAAAAGTATAAAAAATTTAATTCTAATTAGTTAATTATTTTTATAAAATTTAAATAACTAATTAACTTATATTATTAAAATATAATATTTTATAAAATATTATAGTATTAATTAAATAAAAAATAGATTGATTTAAATTTTAATAATTATAACTTTTATTTTATTTGTTATTTTAGCAATTTAGCTAACAATTTTGTTATGAAATTTATATTAGATTTAAAAAGAGATACAGTAGTATAAATATTGAGTACTCATATATAATTTATTATACCAAAATAATATAAATATCAAATTCAAAAAGTATATCAGATTACTGTTCTATAATAGAACAGTATCAATCCAATAATATTTTTTTATACATACATAATATTAGATAATAACTTTATTTTATGTTAAGAACGAATTAAATTTGATCAATCATTTTAGCAAAAATCGTATGATATATTTCATACCTACAAATCGTGAAAAATTATTTGCCATTCAAGTTATGGTATTTATCAGGTAACAACTTTATTTACCGTAAATTGCCGCATAAATCACCCCGGGTCTGTTACTTCAAGCCTGCGTGAAAATTGATTCAGACCCGGGGGGTCTGCTATACGGAGGAGGGTCTACTATTGGAGTCTGTGCTAAAAACATTATTGACCAATTAAAATCAAGCACGAATATATAATACGTGACCACATAGACCCGGGTCTTATACTTTTTACCTTTCATTGAACCCAAATAACAGACCCGGGTCTGCTAGAAGGGGTCTTCTATAAAGGGAGTGACTTATGCGGCAATTTACAGTATTAAATAAGAATATGTTAACGCAAAGAACAAATTAAAATCGGTCGATTATTTTTAAACAGGTTTTTATCAAGATTTTTAAGAAATATAAAGTTGAAGAATTCTTGAAAACAATTCTTCGTGTTAATGTTAAAACATCGATAATTTAAACATCTATGTTGTCTTATGTCATGCAATTACTGTGAGGGTCAGTTCTGAAATTTTATAGAACACATTAATTAGAACATAAAAGGTATTATTGTGATGTCCTTCGAACAAAGATTGCGATCTACATGGAAAATTTTCCTTTTTGGGTTTTAGGCAAATTCACACTCTTTAAATATAAATAAATTTGACTAACGATAACTCTAACTTCAAAATACTAATCCTTGCTAACAAAAAAACAAACATCATAGAGTATTAAAACCATGCAAGCCAAACTTCTTGGTGGTTTTAAATTTATTTTTTTAAAGTTGTGGCAATTTTATCATTAACAATTTAACCGCTTAAAATATACTATTAACCAAGCAAATTTGGCATTTACTAATTTTACCCCAGGTTTCACGATTCTGGCCAATCAGAGGACAGGATCAGGTGTAACGTGAAAATTAA